TGTTAAAAAAAAACACAGTAGTACAATGTTATTTTCTTTTAAAATCTGTTTGTTTGATATTTGTTAACTTTTACCTCTGCCCCTTCCCCCCATTTTTAGATGCCTGATTGTATTGTGAGGAGTGATAGGAAGTAGTTTTTATCACTGTTAATTCTGAATAGCAAACTAAATACACTGAGGCAATTTTGATGGATAGCTTTAGTCTATAGATAACCAAGTTCAACTTGCCCGACTTCAAAGCTAATGCTTCTGAATAATAGAAATTACTATGCATTTGTATGAACTGTCTGCAGAATAAAGAAACTAGAATTATTTTTCTAATAAAGTTGCGTACTTTGACTCTATGAGTATGGTAGAGTAGAAGAAGCTCATTCATAATAAGGAGTTAGAAGAACAGGGTTAGAATCCTAACCACCCCTTACCACCTGGGATGCCTTAGCCATGTTTACTCAGCTTCTCAAAGCCCAAGATGCCTCATCTCTGTGAAATGCAGGTATATCAACTCTCCCTACCCTGCCAGTTGTGGTAGTGACCTAATCAGAAAATGGGAATGAAGGGAGTTGGGGACCTCATGGCCAATGTGCGCATTTAAAAGATAGGTGGAATAGTGTTCTTCTTTGGGCAAAATTTTAATCTAAATGAAAGTGGAACCTCACATATGTGATCATTGACCAAGCATCTAGTTTAATAAGGTTTTAAAGGAATGTAAGGTAATAAATTATATCAATATTAAGTTCTATTATGATTATTTTCAATATAGTCATAGAAACCCAAGTTAGCAGATATTTATTATGGGGCCTTATTATTTCTTCATAGAATACATCTAAGTGATGCATATAAAAAGTTTTTTATTCCTGTCAATTGGACTGATTTTGTTACCCTTTTGGGAGTTTGAGTGCAGATTAATTGGGGAACCCAGTTATTTCTGTTTTTATATAGATTAAAAGTGTTTGTAAGGAAATTTATAGTTTGTAAAATGTTTTACATTCTTTCATGCACTCTTCATAATAGCTCTGTAAAGGTAACTACTCTTATTTTCATTATTATTCCTATTACTTAGGTTAGAGAAATTTTGACTTTCTAAAAGTCAGTTAGCTACTAGGTGGTAGATCTGAAAATAAAAACCTAAATTTTTTACTCCAAACCTACTGTATCATGTTGCTTGGGAAACTAAGGAATTATTTTAGATAGTCTTAGATTAGAACACAAGGTATTCCTAGTTTGAGCTCAACCTTGATCCAAACATGGTTGCATTCAGTATAAACACCACCATTTTCTATACATCAGGGGCTTGTATTACCCTGGGCCTTTTCTTCTGTGTCTGCTCCAGCCTAATGCCTTCACTCTCCAGCCTCTCTCCCAGTGCCCATGTCTATCAGTACACTCCTGTCCCCAACAACATACATTCTTATCAATGGAGCCTTAGAATTATAATTATATGCTTTCTAGTGTTATTATGAATTAACCTTTGCTGGTGAGCAACATGGGTATTTTAACTATCATTTGGATGAGTCTCTGGTTCCTTATAAATTTTTTGTACTGATTTCATTTACTGTAATTTCAATTGCAAGTAGGCTATTTTGAACTTGATTTCCAGAATCTGACTAGTGAGCATAGATTCTTTGAGGCCAGCCTAGAACCAGACCAGTCTCCAGAGCCTCAGAGAATTAACCCAATTTTACTTGTTCTGTGACTGTGTTTTGTACTTTCAGGTGGAAGGGGCTTTTGTTGCAATATCACCTATATCTAGTTCGTGTTTAATACTTGCCTAAAAACAAACACATAGAAAAATAACTCTTCTGTGTATCTTTCTGAACATTTTATAAGTGCACATGTCATATTTTCAGCAAACAGGGAAAATAAGAAATATTCTACTGTTTCATGTTTTGAAATGCTGACTGGATAAAGATTACACATGATAAGTTATTTATAGCTTTATTTATACATAGTAGATTCTCTGTTGGAATTATAGAAAGGAAGAAGATATGATAATTGCTTTGTGTAGTTCACAGAATGAAATCACAAACTGAGATGTTTTGAATCTAGTTTGGACTGTAACCATTTCTAGAGAACCATATTTAAACAGCAGTGGTTATCATGAAGTATACAACATGTCAACTGTGTCCCAATTCACATCAGGAAAAAGCCTTCTGCCACTTTATTCCCTATAACCTAACCTCCATCAGATAATGCCAAATAAACTATGTCGAGTGCACGTATTAATATATATCAAATGTACCAAACAGCTTGCTGGCTGCATTTTCAGTAGTGTTTATCTGTGGTCATGCAGGTTATAACTCTGAATTTTTATTAGCAAAACTAAATTGAGAATTTATAATGTTCCTGATTTAGCTTTACCAGCTGTGCCACAGCCATAGAAAATAACTCAAGAGGGTAAAAATCTAACACAGTATATAAGAGAGCAACAGACAAATTGCTTTTGCTTCATGCTTACCTGCTTTGCATCTGCTGCTATAAGGTTTAGGTTCATGTATAGTAATTAGTAGTCTCTTAACTTATATATGTCATCACTCCAGCAAATTGCTGTATGAATTTTTAAGTTGCCTCATATAGAATAAGAATAATGATTATTAATTGGTATTTAATCTTGGGAATCTTGAAAGTGATTTTAAAAATATGAATGGAAATGACTCTAGTATAAAAATATATTTATAGTTTTACTTTAGTTAAAGGAGACACAATGAAATAATTGTACAAATTGTACAATTTAGGCATCAGGTAATTTGTGGCCAAAGGTAACTTAGTAGTTTATATTTAGATGTTCTTTCAGGTACAGTGTATACTATTTGGGTGACATGTACAAAAACCCAGACTTTATCGCTGTACAATTCATCCATGTAAACAAAAAAACACTTGTAGCCCTGAAGCTATTGAATTTTTTTAAAAAAATGAAATGTTGAATTAGCATAGGAATAGAGTAAAAAATGGAGGAAATCACCTGTAGATAGTGAATTTACTGTGGAATTCTTAACAAAGGGTGCTATATAGAGTCTCTCATCATGAACATTTTTCTCTTTAATTTCTGGTACTGGATGATGTATAATAAGTTTCTGGTGAAATTTGTGCACAAACTTGTGGGAATTGGCAGATCAGACTAATTCCTGAATGTAAATTGATAGTCCTTACAAATATTTCTTTGCTATGATAGCGCTATAATTATCAGTTTAGCTCTGATATGTTTTGTTTATAATGCTTGGCAGTTTGATTTGGCAGCTGCAAAGTAAGCCGCTATTGGGGCAGTGATCCTGTTTGTTCTGCTCACTATTGCAGCCCCAGAGTCTTGCACATTGCCTACCCTGTGGATTAGGGTATGTTTCTTATATATCCTAATATTAATATATTATATTAGGATGTATCAAATTTTGTTTCATGTAGAATTTATAGAGTTTTGAATTACATATTCACAGAAGAAAAATAAGTTACTTTCATGCTAAGTGAAAATGATTTTGATAGAAATTAAAAGTCATCTCATATTCTAGTTATTTCTTTTAGAGAATCATATACCACTGAGAAGCAATAAGACCGCTAGTTTTAATAATAAAGGCTTTACACATCATCTAGAATATTTAATTCTCAACCACTATTATATGAGACATGAGATACATTTCATAAATGAGAAAACTGAAAATTTGGAATAGTGGCTTGCCACAAAGCTATTATGAAGTGGTGAAGCTACGATTCATTTATAACAATGTAAAAAATATAGGCTAACATATGTTGAGCACTGAATTATAGATCAGGCACTATATTAAGTGTTTTACATTTAATCTCACTGTAACACTATGAGAGAAGCTTAATTATCATTTCCATTTTACAAGTGGAGAAATTAGGCACAGAGATGTTAACTAACTTGTCAAGGGTTCCTGGCTAGTTATTGGTGGAGCCAGAGGGATCGAGCTGAGGTAAGAGCAGCATTTATTATAACCATTTGGAACATTCATAGTTTTAAAATATTTAAGTATTTTTTAAAAGGCATTTTCTGCTATACTCTGCTGATTATGGAAATGTCTCTGTTTTTAAAGATAATTATAAAATGTATTTTTGAATGGAAACAAATTTGCTTTATGGGCAGCAAATCCATTGTTTTCCTCAATCAGAGGAATATTCAGTATTGTTTTATTATTGTATGAATGTAGTTTTTATATAATTTCATTACCAGTTATGGGTTAATTGACTAAATTTAGTTTAACTTTTCCCATTGTATGTGTTGCATTTTTTCTTTTTAAATTTTAAGAATAGTGGTTTGCTTTACTGTTCATGGGGACCTAGGGAAAAACCATCTAGTGTTAGCTTTAATGCTTTCCCTTTGTCCAAATTAAAGTAGAATTAGATTTTAAATATCATAATTTTATACTATGGTTGTTTACTGAAGTGCCGTTTATATAGTATGGCTGCCAGACATTGATGGCATAGTTTTCTTTTTTTAAAAAGCTAGGTTTGTTCCTTAAAATTGTACTTTTAATTACTCTTTAGGTAATTTATAGATACTTTATATATTTATGTGTTTTCCTCTCTTTGCCTGTCTGTGTGTTCCGGGAAAACATTCTGACATTGTAAATATCACATACTTGCAGTTTATTTTAGAAGAAATTTCAAGATTCTGGAATTACCTGAAGATATTTTTTAAAAACTTAAGTGATGGGAAGCTAAAACTAAATAAAAAGTTTGGCTATGTTCAATTCAGCAAACATTAGGTATCTGTGTATGTAAGATACTCTGTTTGTGATATGAGAGAGACAAAGATGACAAAAACTCAGTATCTCTGTTCCTGGGGCTTGTAAGCTCTGAACTGGCCCAGGTAAATCCATAAATAACTATAATTCAAAGCTGGCAATAAGAAGTACTATAGTATAGACATCAACAAATTGCAGTGAAAAATCAGGATAGAGAGATTAATCCTTACTGGGAGGATCTAGGAGGTTCTCACGGAGTAGGTAGGATTTGAGTAGAGCTTAATTTATTGCTTTCATTCATTCTAGACTGTCTTCTGAAGATTGATGTCTATTTCCTTGAGCTCTTTAATTTTGTTGCCAATTTGGATAAACATGGCACAAATCCATCAGGGAGGTCCAGATGAAAAAGAAAAGACTACAGCATTGAAAGGTACACCCTTAATTTGCTTTTTCAGGAAATTTTCATTGTGCCTAGTGAAAGTGCAGGATATTTAGGTGACCTTCCATTCATTTAAATTCTAAATTAAGATTATAGGTACCTAAACTATTTGTAGTTATTTGTTTCCTTCACAGCAACTGTACAGTGTCTAAGATATAGTATGTACTTAGTAAATAATCATCAAATTGTCTAATTTTGTAGCTATAAAAATTCTTAATGCTTTTCTGATTCTGGGCCATCCATTTAATGATAAAAATAATACTTTAAGTCTTTTGAATCAAATCTAGTGCCCTTACCATATGCTTGCTGGTTGGAATATCATACTGCATTAGGATAATGGCCTATCTATTTCTGTATTCTGTCTTTGCGGCATTAGTATTAGGGATATTTTATGAGAGGCCCTCCATGTTAACATTTCAGAGGGAATCTGCCTTAGACATTGTTAAGGAATTAGGAATTCTAGAATTAAAAAAAAAAAATCTTCTATCTAAAGTAATTTTACTCCTAAAAAACATATTCATTATAGAGTTATAAGATTTCTTCATTATCATGTATTTCATCCTGTCTAGTGACTTGTCCAAAATCAGATTATCTAAATAAAATCTCACAGTTATTTTATTTAATGTCTTATGGGTTTCCTAAATGTTCAGATGACAACTATCTTAGTCCTTTTTGTGCTGCCATAAAAATACCACAGACTGGGTAATTTATAATGAATAGAAATGTATTGACTCATAGTTGTAGAGACTGGAAAGTTTAGTATCTAGGTGCTAGCATCTGGTGAGGGCCTTCTTGCTGTGTCATCCCATAGAGGAAGGACCAAGAGATGAAAGGGGGTCAAACTTACCCTTTTATTGCAGTAGTAATTCCTCTCATGAGGCCAGAGGCCTCATGACCCAATCACCTCTTAGAGGTTCCACCTATCAGCACTTTTAAAATGACAACTAAATTGGAATATGAATTTTAGGAGGACAAATATTCTAACCATAGCACCAACTATGTATACCAGACAATAATATTCTGTTTGACTTGATTCAGTGTACAGTCTATCTGGTCTTCAAGGGTTTCTAGCTATGTTCTGTAATAGATGATCCAGCTGAATATATATCTTGCAGTCATGGCTTCAGCTGTTTCTCTGAATCACTGACTGCTGTCCTACCTTGGTGTTCTAGTCTTGAAAATAAAGATGCCTCAATTTGTGTCACCTTGTCCCTGCTATTAGAGATAAGGATCTATTGAGAGAATGGTATAACTTAGTCTTTACCTACAAAGAATGGAAAATGATTATGAGAATTGCCTTTTTTAGGTTTTCTAGACCAAGCCTCCTCATAAATGTGAGAGATGAAGATGACTGGGGATAGGTTGGCAGTGAAAGGATGAAGAAGAATTGACAGATTTTTGGATGTGTTTTGAAGGAAGGGATGAAATGATATGTTGATACATTGGACATAGGAGAGATAACTGAGGATTCTAGGATGAAATAGCTCTAAGATAGATGCCAGTAATTAGATTGAGAAAACATTTGGAAAAGCAGGTTGGGGTGGTGATGGTGGAAAACAAGAGTTAGGTTTTAGACATATTAAGTTGAGATTCCACCAAAACGTCAAAGTAGAGAAATTGAGTTTGGAGTTTGGGAGAGAATTTGGGCTAGAGAAAAAATTTTGAGAAATCATTAGCATAGAGATAACTAAAGTCATGGTCCTAATTGAGATCTTCTGAGGTATCAGTGTAGCTAGAACAAAGTTCTGAAGATTGATCCTGGGCACCTTGACCTCTAGGGTCAGGAAGATGAGGAGGAACTTGCAAAAGAGGCTGAAAGGAATTTTTAGTAAAATAGGCTGAGAATCAAGAGCAAGAATGAGATCCTGAGCACCAAGTGAAAAAAAATATGAGTAATTAAGTAATATGCTGGTGATGGGTCAGATTAGATGAGGACTGAGAATTCAGTTTTGGTTATGAAGGTCATTGTGGGTGTCATTGGTGATCTTCACAAAGAGCTGTTTCAGGATCCTCCTGGCAAGATGGCGATGGCATAGGTGGACTTGTGAGATTCTCTGAACGTGAGTTCCCAAAAGACTCTTACTTTTCTTCCCCCATCCCCCAGCCCACTACCAGCCACGCTGTTCCGAGGCCCTTCGGTCCCATGCAGGGCTGGATATTGCGGTCCCCTGCTGCTGCTGTTCCACCACGTGCGTGGGAGTCTTGGGTCTCAACTCACTCCCTGGCTACATCATCTCTCACCCAGCACCAAGCCGCCGGTCACCCAGGGAGGCTCTGGGCGCCCGCCCCTCAGAGACACCGGTCCCATTCCTGGCTGAAGTACCCTGTGGGGGGCCTAGGGCCACTCTTGCTGCTCACCGCCTGCCCTTTGGAGCTTTGGAGCTCTGGAGCTCTGGGCCCACCCTGTCTGAGACACTCAGCATGTGACCCCAAGCTTGGGGACCCAGACAAGTGGAGAGAAACGGATCTGCAAAAGGGAATCTGCCTTGGCCATTCTCCAGGCAGAGACATCCATTGCCCCGCCCACCTATCAACAAACCCCACCTCGGTTCCTAAGGGACTAAGACTACATACTGCTACACGGACAGATTATAAGGCAGAGGGAAATAGGTTCCAGTGTGCTCATATCCCTGTTCGTGGATGCTAGAATCAGCATATACCTTCTGAACCACAGCTTCCCCCTCAAACCTCAAAACTGCAAAAAGTACAGTCTGCAGCCCACATTCCAACCTCAAAAGTGAACAAAGCCAGAAGACCCTCATAAGGAAGAACAAAATATTCCAGCAATGAAACAAAAGCAAGCCCACCTTTCCTCAAAAACAGAATTAAAGAAGGGGAGGGAAAGGGGGAGAGAGAGAAAAATCTACACAAATGAAGAAAAACCAAAAGAAGAGTACGGGTCTCTCCCAGACCCCTGGGAGGCAGACACTGAGAAAACTGACTTCGGAATGCAAACAATGAAGAGCTCCCAGAATGAAGGGTCTCAAACTACAAACCTAGATATCAAGACATTAATAGAAAGATTAAAAAGAATTGAGGAGACACAAGAAGAAACTAGGAAGGAGCTGATATCTGAGGTAACAGTAGTAAAGAGTACTCTGAATGAAATAAATAACAAACTGATAAGCATAGAAAGCAGAATTACCCAAGCAGTAAAAAGAATCTCAGAGCTTGAGGACCAAAATATAGAACTAACCCAAACTCTTAAAAACATAGAAAATAAGCTCAAAAAGACAGAACAAAACCTTCAAGAGATGAGCGATTACTTCAAGAGACCGAACCTAAGAGTAATTGGCCTTCCTGAGGCAGAAAGAGAGACAGAGACCACACTGGAACAAACTTTCCATGAGATCATTCAAGAAAACTTCCCTTATGTAATCAATGATGCAAAAATTCAAGCACAAGAGATTCAGAGAACCCCTGCAAGACAATAAATGAGAAGACCAACTCCTAGACACATAATAATTCGCCTAAACAAAGTAGGCAG